GATAACGTGGGCATTTCAGACACTTGACGTTGATTGCATTCTTTTAAAACTTGCAATGGCTGACATCACTTTAAGCACATATCCAATGCACTCTTTAACATTACACCCATTTTTTGCAACTGCTTCTTATACAACACAAATTCATGCATCATTGCAAAATTTTCTGCATGTGACCTACAGATGCAAAAACAAAGAAAAACCAAAACAGGACTTCAATGCCCAACACCACTCAGAACATACTCCTTTCTTCAATATTGCAAAAAGCAACACAGAACGTTCATCAAAGACACAGAGCTCACAACCAAATTCGCCGATCTGTGCCCAATTCACGCTCAGAAAGGAGCATCATGACTCATCATCGTGGGTTGGGAGACAAACACTTTCGAAACACATTTCCAAGCAAAGAACTATAGAAATGATCCCTGAAAATATAGTCTTAACGGTTTATGTTAACTCAATCGGCATTCCATTCTGCTGCACCTCTCCTCTGAAAGGGTTTTGCCTATTTGAATTTTGTGGGCTTTAAAGTTTAATTGACAATGATATATATCGGAGCCAAAAGCAGAAAGGACTTCCAAAATCTCTTTGAAGCCTACTGTTACTGTTAAGATATGTGGAATGTCATACTTTTTTGTGAGCTTAGCTACCCGTGTCATGCTTTGTAGTTAATATTTGTTGACGCTAAATGTAGAAAATCTTTGAAAAGAAAAGTTATGTAGATTAAAAAGAAAAGATGTTCCAAGTCTGTTTCTGTCTTCTTACTCTTCAGCCGGTTTCTCTCTTGGCCAACGTGTGCTTCAGCACCTCATAAGAAAGGATTCTGTACTTAGAACCATCTATCCTTGAGTGTAGTAGAGTTCCCAATTGTACGGTGACCTCGATTGGGCCATCATTGCCTACAGCAGTGGGTGGTTCCAAGTTTAGAAAGTGATTTGGTGGAAATGCTCATGATTGATGTCTTTTCCTAGCCGGGAGCTGCTCCATTGGTCCTGGGCTCCTCTTTCCAATATTGGATTGCCACAACGCATTCCAGAAAAGTTTCTAAAACAATCCCCTTTCTCAAAAGGCACAAATGTCAAACAACGCTCAGATTATACCCCTTTCTTCAACATCGACAAAAGCTACACAGAAACTTCATCAACGACACAGAGTTGACGTCCAACGAAAAAGTCCCGCACCTACCCACAAATGATAACGTGGGCATTTCAGACACTTGACGTTGATTGCATTCTTTTAAAACTTGCAATGGCTGACATCACTTTAAGCACATATCCAATGCACTCTTTAACATTACACCCATTTTTTGCAACTGCTTCTTATACAACACAAATTCATGCATCATTGCAAAATTTTCTGCATGTGACCTACAGATGCAAAAACAAAGAAAAACCAAAAGAGGACTTCAATGCCCAACACCACTCAGAACATACTCCTTTCTTCAATATTGCAAAAAGCAACACTGAACGTTCATCAACGACACAGAGCTCACAACCAAAGTCGCCGATCTGTGCCCAATTCACGCTCAGGAAGGAGCATCATGACTCATCATCGTGGGTTGGGAGACAAACACTTTCGAAACACATTTCCAAGCAAAGAACTATAGAAATGATCCCTGAAAATATAGTCTTAACGGTTTATGGTAACTCAATCGGCATTCCATTCTGCTGCACCTCTCCTCTGAAAGGGTTTTGCCTATTTGAATTTTGTGGGCTTTAAAGTTTACTTGACAATGACATATATCGGAGCCAAAAGCAGAAAGGACTTCCAAAATCTCTTTGAAGCCTACTGTTACTGTTAAGATATGTGGAATGTTATACTTTTTTTGTAAGCTTAGCTACCCGTGTCATGCTTTCTAGTTAATATTTGTTGAAGCTAAATGAAGAAAATCTTTGATAAGAAAAGTTATGTAGATAAAAAGGAAAAGATGTTCCAAGTCTGTTTCTGTCTTCTTACTCTTCAGCCGGTTTCTCTCTTGGCCAACGTGTGCTTCAGCACCTCATAAGAAAGGATTCTGTACTTAGAACCATCTATCCTTGAGTGTAGTAGAGTTCCCAATTGTACTGTGACCTCGATTGGGCCATCATTGCCTACAGCAGTGGGTGGTTCCAAGTTTAGAAAGTGATTTGGTGGAAATGCTCATGACTGATGTCTTTTCCTTGTCGGGAGCTGCTCCATTGGTCCTGGGCTCCTCTTTCCAATATTGGATTGCCACAATGCATTCCAGAAAAGTTTCTAAAACAATCCCCTTTCTCAAAAGGCACAAATGTCAAACAACGCTCAGATTATACCCCTTTCTTCAACATCGACAAAAGCTACACAGAAACTTCATCAACGACACAGAGTTGACGTCCAACGAAAAAGTCCCGCACCTACCCACAAATGATAACGTGGGCATTTCAGACACTTGACGTTGATTGCATTCTTTTAAAACTTGCAATGGCTGACATCACTTTAAGCACATATCCAATGCACTCTTTAACATTACACCCATTTTTTGCAACTGCTTCTTATACAACACAAATTCATGCATCATTGCAAAATTTTCTGCATGTGACCTACAGATGCAAAAACAAAGAAAAACCAAAAGAGGACTTCAATGCCCAACACCACTCAGAACATACTCCTTTCTTCAATATTGCAAAAAGCAACACAGAACGTTCATCAACGACACAGAGCTCACAACCAAAGACGCCGATCTGTGCCCAATTCACGCTCAGGAAGGAGCATCATGACTCATCATCGTGGGTTGGGAGACAAACACTTTCGAAACACATTTCCAAGCAAAGAACTATAGAAATGATCCCTGAAAATATAGTCTTAACGGTTTATGTTAACTCAATCGGCATTCCATTCTGCTGCACCTCTCCTCTGAAAGGGTTTTGCCTATTTGAATTTTGTGGGCTTTAAAGTTTACTTGACAATGACATATATCGGAGCCAAAAGCAGAAAGGACTTCCAAAATCTCTTTGAAGCCTACTGTTACTGTTAAGATATGTGGAATGTCATACTTTTTTGTAAGCTTAGCTACCCGTGTCATGCTTTGTAGTTAATATTTGTTGACGCTAAATGTAGAAAATCTTTGAAAAGAAAAGTTATGTAGATTAAAAAGAAAAGATGTTCCAAGTCTGTTTCTGTCTTCTTACTCTTCAGCCGGTTTCTCTCTTGGCCAACGTGTGCTTCAGCACCTCATAAGAAAGGATTCTGTACTTAGAACCATCTATCCTTGAGTGTAGTAGAGTTCCCAATTGTACGGTGACCTCGATTGGGCCATCATTGCCTACAGCAGTGGGTGGTTCCAAGTTTAGAAAGTGATTTGGTGGAAATGCTCATGACTGATGTCTTTTCCTTGCCGGGAGCTGCTCCATTGGTCCTGGGCTCCTCTTTCCAATATTGGATTGCCACAACGCATTCCAGAAAAGTTTCTAAAACAATCCCCTTTCTCAAAAGGCACAAATGTCAAACAACGCTCAGATTATACCCCTTTCTTCAACATCGACAAAAGCTACACAGAAACTTCATCAACGACACAGAGTTGACGTCCAACGAAAAAGTCCCGCACCTACCCACAAATGATAACGTGGGCATTTCAGACACTTGACGTTGATTGCATTCTTTGAAAACTTGCAATGCCTGACATCACTTTAAGCACATATCCAATGCACTCTTTAACATTACACCCATTTTTTGCAACTGCTTCTTATACAACACAAATTCATGCATCATTGCAAAATTTTCTGCATGTGACCTACAGATGCAAAAACAAAGAAAAACCAAAAGAGGACTTCAATGCCCAACACCACTCAGAACATACTCCTTTCTTCAATATTGCAAAAAGCAACACAGAACGTTCATCAAAGACACAGAGCTCACAACCAAATTCGCCGATCTGTGCCCAATTCACGCTCAGAAAGGAGCATCATGACTCATCATCGTGGGTTGGGAGACAAACACTTTCGAAACACATTTCCAAGCAAAGAACTATAGAAATGATCCCTGAAAATATAGTCTTAAAGGTTTATGGTAACTCAATCGGCATTCTATTCTGCTGCACCTCTCCTCTGAAAGGGTTTTGCCTATTTGAATTTTGTGGGCTTTAAAGTTTAATTGACAATGACATATATCGGAGCCAAAAGCAGAAAGGACTTCCAAAATCTCTTTGAAGCCTACTGTTACTGTTAAGATATGTGGAATGTCATACTTTTTTGTAAGCTTAGCTACCCGTGTCATGCTTTGTAGTTAATATTTGTTGACGCTAAATGTAGAAAATCTTTAAAAAGAAAAGTTATGTAGATTAAAAAGAAAAGATGTGCCAAGTCTGTTTCTGTCTTCTTACTCTTCAGACGGTTTCTCTCTTGGCCAACGTGTGCTTCAGCACCTCATAAGAAAGGATTCTGTACTTAGAACCATCTATCCTTGAGTGTAGTAGAGTTCCCAATTGTACTGTGACCTCGATTGGGCCATCATTGCCTACAGCAGTGGGTGGTTCCAAGTTTAGAAAGTGATTTGGTGGAAATGCTCATGACTGATGTCTTTTCCTAGCTGGGAGCTGCTCCATTGGTCCTGGGCTCCTCTTTCCAATATTGGATTGCCACAACGCATTCCAGAAATGTTTGTAAAACAATCCCCTTTCTCAAAAGGCACAAATGTCAAACAACGCTCAGATTATAGCCCTTTCTTCAACATCGACAAAAGCTACACAGAAACTTCATTAACGACACAGAGTTGACGTCCAACGAAAAAGTCCCGCCCCTACCCACAAATGATAACGTGGGCATTTCAGACACTTGACGTTGATTGCATTCTTGGAAAACTTGCAATGGCTGACATCAAGCTAAACACATATCCAGAGCACTCTTTAAGACCCATTTTTTGCAACTGCTTTTTATACAACACACATTCATGCATCATTGCAAATGGTTCTGCCTTTCAATAAAATCTTCTGCATGAGACCTACAGATGCAAAAACAAAGGAAAACCAAAACGGGACTTCAATGCCCAACACCACTCAGAACATACTCCTTTTTTCAATATTGCAAAAAGCAATACAGAATGTTCATAAACGACACAGAACTCACAACCAAAGTCACTGACCTGTGCCAATTCACACTCAGGAAGGAGCATCGTGACTCATCATCATAGGATTGGGAAACAAACACTTTCAAAACACATTTCCAAGCAAAGAACTATAGAAATGATCCCTGAAAATATAGTCTCAATGGTTTATGGAAACTCAATCGGCATTCCATTCTGCTGCACCTCTCCTCTGAAAGGGTTTTGCCTATTTGAATTTTGTGGGCTTTAAAGTTTACTTGACAATGACATACATTGGAGCCAAAAGCAGAAAGGACTTCCACAATCTCGTTGAAGCCTACTGTTACTGTTAAGATATGTGGAATACACACAACAATGCATAATGTCATACTTTTTTTGTAAGCATAGCTACCAGTGTCATGCTTTGTAGTTAATATTTGTTGAAGCTAAATGTAGAAAATCTTTGAAAAGAAAAGTTATGTACATTAAAAAGAAGATGTTCCAAGACTGTTTCTGTCTTCTTACTCTTCAGCCAGTTTCTCTTTTGGCCAACGTGTGCTTCAGCACCTCATAAGAAAGGATTCTGGACTTAGAACCATCTGTCCTTGAATGTAGTAGAGTTTAGAGGTCTTCACGGGTCCACTTGGATCCGAAAACCCGAGTTCCGACCGGGTTCGGGTCCAAAACTCCGACGAGTGTCTCGGGTCGGGTTCGGTATTAGTGGTATATAATCGCTCCACAAAAACCAACCCCTCTGTTTGCGAGTCGCGAGAACTCCCCAACTATTAGTGCCCGCGCACACACACGACCAATCAGATGCACTCATCCCAAACATGTCATCATTACATTTTTAAACTGCTCCTCACATCTTCTGGGATTGTCCACACACACAACTGTTTCGAGACCAATTTTGGGACGAATTAACTGCAATGTTCTTCCGGGTTTCTCTCTCTCTTTTTAAGGATGTAATGTTTGGCCGTTTTTTTAATATACAAAAAGCTCAAACGAATACTTTATTATTATTCTATTATTGCTATTAAATTCTCTTTTCAAATTCACTGTTTTTAGGAGAGAGGTCCAACAGTACATCCAAAATATTTCATCATCTCAGAATCTTAAAGCTCAGTAACCTTGTTTCAACTTTTTAACTCATTTCATTAAAGTTTTCTGTTCTGTTTTTCTTGTTTTTACATGTATACACACTGTTAGACCTTACCAGGTTTATTACAGTAAAATACTGGCAACAGGTCAAATTCTGACACTATCATACCATTTTCCATTAAAACAGTTATATACCGTAGAAAACAAAACTAGCCTACAGGAATATACTGTGAATAAACAGCTCTCAAAGTCAACACTCAGAGACTGTGTTCCTAATCACACCCTATACCCTCATTCACTGTCTATTCCCTACATTAGTTCACTAATATAGTCCACTTGAATGAAAAGAAGTGAGTGAATTGAGACACTGATGAACACCTGATAAACAGAATCACTGAAGCACAGAGAAACAAGAACTGAGAAAGAGAAACACAAGATCTACAACTGACTTTCAGCAACACTGAGTGTGAAAACAGTTTACAAACCAGTTTAACATTATTTATTTCATACTTTTACAAAAGTTCTTGTTGAGAATTAACAGAGATTTAATTAATAATAAAGTTTTTTGTCACCATAATGGAGATCAGTATTTGCTTTAGTAGGTCTCTTATCCCTGGACTTGTGACATTTATCTCTCTCTGACTGCTGTAACAGTGAGTTTTAAAACACATTTGTTGTAGCAAGAAAAAGTCAAGAGGACACACACAGACATCAACAGTTATAATATTCATCTCAACAACGGTAACATTCAAAAGTTTCATGCAGCAGTGCATGCTGGGTTCCAGGATTGTATAAAAATCCCAGCATGCACTGCTGCATGAATAAAAAAGAAATTGCCACCATTACTGAGATTAATGTGCTAAATTTTGATATCTTGGTGTTTCAACAACGCTGTAGCGCTGTTTTGGTTTATGTATATGTTAAAAACAAATAGTCGTAATTAATTGCTGTGGTTTCGCGGTGGTGGTAATGTAACACTTTTGGTTGAGATTGAAACTCTGAATGAGTGAAAATGAATTATGTAGTAAATGAACAGACCATATGATGATTGTCATATTTTGACAAATCAAATCATTACTAAACTGTATGTCTGCACAAGTGTGACTTGCACAAAACACAGCTCACAGCATCTAAAGAAAATCTCATGTTACAGCGTCAGCAGACCAACTAAAGCAAACACTGATCTCTATGATGGTAACTTCAAGCCAAACATTTTTAAACATCTCAACAACATCTTCTATAGATGTATGACAGAAATAAAGCCATACTAATAAGTGTAATAATGTGTAATGGCTGAAGTCAGTTGTAGTTCTTTTCTCTATTTTCTGTTCTTGATGTTCCTCTTTCCTTCAGTGATTCTGCTTGTTAACAGCAGGTGTTCATCACTAATGCTCAACAATCACTTACATATTCCCTTAATTATCTCACTGCAACACTGCATCAATGTTAATTTTTACCTTTTGTAGTGTGGATTTTCCTGTGGGGTTGAAAGGGTTAACAGTGTAAGATAAAAATACACTCCCACAAAATGTATTTTAACAGTAATAAACTGTAAGTTATAAAACAGGTTTATACTGGCAACACTGTTGCCAGTAGTTTACTGTAAAATCTTGTTTTTTGGGTCACCGTTGTGCTGAAGAGTAGAGCCTGAGCTTCAGTCCAGGAGAAGATCTACAAACATTGATAATACGCTGCATGTTGCTTTATTTAAAAGGCACTGTCTGTGTTAGTTGCAGAATCCGGTGGAAATGTCTTTATTTACAAAAGTTAATTTTTATTGTTTCTAATTAAATAAGTTCACAATAATACCTTAATCACATTATTAATGCATTATAAATGTAGGTGATTATTTTAAGTTGGTTTCTGCAAGTGAAATTAGTTAACTCGAGTTTTAGTCCATTTTTACAGTAAATAACTGGCAACACTGTTGCCAGTTATTTACTGTAAAAATGCACTAAAGCTAATAAGTTTTATTTTATTTTTTTTAGTTAACTTGAGTTTTAGTGCATTTCTACAGTAAATAACTGGCAACAGTGTTGCCAGTATTTTACTGTAAAAAAACCTGGTAAGGTCTAACAGTGTAGGCTTTATGAAATCTCTATGTATAGGCCCATGTATATTTGCATAAATTATGGATTTTATTATCATTTAATTGTATGTAAGTTTTACATTTTTGCTATGTACTTGTATTTTTAATACCTTGGCATTATATTAAAAATAAGGTGGATAGAGGACCTGCCCCTCCTGAAGAATATCATTTTTTTCCCATATAAAGATAAAAGTCTGTGGAAAATGCTGAGGTGCAATAGGTGACTGTCTACAATTAATTTTTTTATTATGCGGGTTGAAAGTCTCCTCATATCCTGATAGCAATCACAGTGTTAAGCGATCGAACACACACACACCATCTCTCAAAATCAGGTACGCCAATATATTATTATTACAAAATATTATTTACTGAACAATAAAAGTTAATGAACAATAACAGCCATTATACAAGAATACATTATACAAGAATACATTATACAGGCATACATTATACACGAATACAGTGTAGAATAGTCAAGTCAAGTCAAATATATTTAAAAAGCACTTTTTTACAATACAGATTGTATCAAATCTGCTTCACAGTATCAATCAAAAGAACTTAACAGTGTTTGTTTATTACTGGAAAAAAAAGACATCCAAGTTTGGTGGAGCTGATCAATGGTATGATGGGTCATTTAATATGAATATCCCCAACTGAGCAAGCCAAAGGCAACAGTGGCAACACAGTAAATTCCCTGGTGTTAAATTAACACCGCTCGGTGTTTATATGGGAACCACCAGCAGGGTGTTAAAAGTAACACTGAGGCAGTGTTAGAGTTAATGAGATAATTAAGTGATTAATTGAGTGATGATTGAGCATTATTGAAGACACCTAAAGCAGAATTATAAGGAGAAAACCTAACTTTCAGGTCACCGTTATGGAGGTGAGTGTTTGCTTTAGTTGGGCTCTTGACCCTTTTATTACTAACTTTACATTTTAATTGGCTGTTGCATCTGAGTTATACCTGCCAGATGAACAAAGAGACAATTTATATGATGGTGTTGGTCATATTATGACATTCATTTGAAATATATGTTCGTGGTTAATTTTGTAGGTCACAACATAACTGAGATTATACATAAATATACAGAATGTCAGATATAATATAAAGGATTTCTACTTTATTTTTTAGTTGTTAAAAAAAAAAAAACTTCTTATAGGCACACATAAACCTCAAAATTTAGTCAATGCTTCTCAACAATGGTGACGAGCAGAATATTCAATTAGGAAAAGTAAATTACATAGACAATTCAGATCATAATTTATTCATACCGCAATGCATGATGGGAGCCATTAATGAGTTGTGATTGGTGGAAACAAGGATTATTAATGTCACCATGGTTGAGATACACAGGCTGACTATTTATGTCTGTGTTTCTAAATAAAGTTGAAAGTGATTTGATCAGAATAGTTGTTATTAAATATTTTCGGTTAAAAGAAAAATACGGATATGCTGCACAATCACTAAACTGTTACTAACAAGTTAAGCCAATTCATCTGAAAAGTTAGATTTTTCAGATCACAGCATGATTATGTCAAAACATAACCAACAATATCAGATCACAGTTTTCTTTATTCATTTGACTGTTATAAATTAATAAAAGCAGACAAACAAAGTTAAAGTGAAAGTATAAGTGTCAAGATCCCAACTAAAGCAAACACTGATCTCCATAACGGTGGCTTTTTTCAAAATTTGTGATTTTGTCCTTCAGTGATTCTGCTTGTTAACATCAGGTGTCTTCAATAATGCTCAATCATCACTCAATTATTCACTTAATTATCTCATTAACTTTAACACTGTATCAGTGTTACTTTTAACACCCTGCTGGTGGTTCCCATATAAACACCGAGCGGTGTTAAATTTAACACCGGGGAATTTACTGTGAAGGAACCGAAAAACTCCATCAAGTGACCCGATAGAGAAAAAAAAAAACCTTGGGAGAACCCAGGCTCAGTCGGGGGCCAGTTCTCCTCTGCCGTTTATGAACTAGAG